AAAAAGTTACTTTAAATCAGTAGGTAATTATTAATTATTGAGTAAGTTTCCCCCTTCCACCTAAGAACTAAAATTATGGTTAAGAAATTCATCTTGGGAGTAAAAGGCTCCTTCTATTAATGAAGTTCTCACTACCTTTTTAAAATTAACTAAAGGCAAATTCTTTATATGTTCTGGCAATTTATTAAAAAACTTTACGCCATAGTAACTAGTGGCTTCTCTAGCTCTCTTCAGCCTATGATAATTGATGATGTATGCGTTCTTATTGCGCGTGTTATATTGATATTCTGCAGAGTTATAATTGAATTCATTTTCCTTAATGAACAGAACTGCAGCAAAAATATACATTCATGGAACCGTCATTATTTTAACAGTAACATTTTTTCAAACCATACTTTCTTCGTACAATATAAAAAAGTGCATTAAAAGCGAAAAACAAAATTTTAAATTTCGAAAACCTAACAGAAGTCTACAGGGTGTTTTTGAAAGGTATGCAAAAAAAAAGCTGATAAATCTGACCATCTCGGAAAACCATCTAAAACTTGTTTTATTGTATAAATCTCACAAAAAAAATTTACCCCCGTCCACATATTTTCTGCGCCATTGACAAATATTAATTAGGTGCAAGGTATACATATCATATGTATATATAAGGTAATGGTCGACAGCACGTATGATAAGTAAAAATGCAAAATTTATTTCTTGCCCCCACAAAAAGAAATAGCAGGGATTCAGGTCGGATGATCAAAGAGGCCATAATACTGGCCCATTGCATCCTATCCACCGTCCTGGGAAGTTCTCGTTAAACCACGCACGCAGTTCATGGGCATAATGAGCACGGCCCCATTGTGGAGATATCACATACCACGGCGGGTACCCAGTGGGACATCCTCTAAAAGGTCGCCCAAGATTTTATTTAAAAAGTCTAAATAGGCAGCAGCTGTTAATCGGGGTGGTAAAATGTATGGACCTATTACGTGGTTTCCAACCATACCTGCCCGAACATTGGAATTGAAGCTACCCTGAAAGTGCGTTTCTTCAATTTAGTGGGGATTTTCGTCTGAACAAATATGGGTGTTGTGGGAATTGAAAATACTATCTCTGGCATGTTGCCTCATTTGTTGAAAATATTTTTTCAGTAAAGTGTGGATTTTCTCCGTTTTTTTTTGAAGCAACCATTCATAGAACGCAACTCTTTTTGGCAAATCTTCAATTTAAGTGTTGTATGCGATGGACATGATACGGTTGTAGGCCCATTTAAGGTCCTCCACACTACAAATGGTGAAATCCCTACTCGGTACGCTAATCTTCGCACACTTATGTATGGATTTTCTTCTATGACATTTAAAATATCGGATTAAGCATTTAGTGTTTATTTGGTCCTTTGGCGACTCCAGTCCGACCTACGTGAACGAAATCCACCATGTGCTCGGAGACGCTGAATAACGGCACTGGAAGTTCCATGGTCTGGTAAATTCCGACCGGGGAAAGCTTCACCGTAGAGACGTCGAGCTTCAAGACCATTTCCAAAGGCTCTGCCGTACATTAAGACCATGTCGGTCATTTCGGCATTTTTGTAACCTTGCACTTTTTAGAAAAACTTCTTTGAAAACAACGGAAAACACTTTGGCGACAAACCTCAAAAAATTTCACGTGAAACTTTGTGCTTGAGCAATGATTGTCACTTTTTACCTCCAAAGTAAAATTAGCCCACCGCAAATGGTACTTAACAACCACCAAATTGCTGTAAATCAGTAGCGCACATCAAATTTTAATAAACTTTTTAGCGAATTTTATCTCAAAAACGAAAGAATTAAGGTGATTTTGAGATTATGACATGCACTTCTCATGCCCAATTTCCGGTTTCTTTTTTGAGATACTTTTCAAAAACAGTCTTTATAGGTGAATTAACTGCGTTCAAATAAAAACGACGTCAAGTTGGCTTTGGAAATGTGGACGGATCATTCACGAAGCCCTAAATTCACATTTACTAAGCTAGCTTGACGTCGTTTTTATTTGAACGCTCGTTATATGTAAAATGATCATTCAATTGACCATTAAAAAATTAGAGAACGGAACGGATAATTCACAAACATTATATGGATTCAGTGTGTCGTGTACTCTATGACGAAATAAAACAAACTGTTGTAAGCAGTTTACATAAAATATGCTTTGCAGTTCTTGAAACCACTGATAGTTGCGAAAGCCCAGCTCCGTCGGGACCAAAAAACCGGAACTGGAGGATGTCAGCGGAGTAGTATGATCCTGGTGGTACAGTTAGCGGTAGGACATATTTTATGAAACAAAGAGACAAAAACATAGCCTCTCTTAGTCTATGTAAAATCACACTTTCGCTTGGTACAAGCTGTTGCCACAAAAGGGAGCTCAGGCGAAGCCCACCAAAATCTTCAGTCTCTTGTATAAGAGCTGAAAATTTGATACCGGGTACTTCTACCGCATTTATTGGTACCCGGCTGGTAAGAGGCTGTGACAGCAAGGAATACGAGGAATCCAGGCATCCCGAATCGCCATTCAGAGCCTTTCATGACCATGGAAAAAGCGACTAGTTGGCTTCCAAGTCAATTACGCCGATACGCGGGTCATGGAAACCCTTTTTGACGGGCCGGGCCAGGTGTAGAGTGTTTAAGGTCAGGTCCTCTGAACTGGATAGGTTTCAGCCTTGACGGCTGTGAGTTAGCCTGACCCGTGTGGGAGGCGAAGGGACCGTTAAATCGCTTTAGGTGTGTACTCTTCGAGATGCAACTTTAGGACCGTTGATGCTTTTTCCCGTCTCACAGGTGAATAAATCCGCCTGCATGTAGGCGATGGATCACGAAGTTTACTAAGTCTCGAAGTGATGCACTGGCCAGGTCGATAGATGATAATCCCATGTCGAACTCAGGAGTGTGATGCATTGCAGAAAATTGGTACATGAATATGTGGATGTTTCACGCGATGCGAAACACGTGTGTCTTGGTGAAGCTCTATCTGATGGTTCGAGAGCTATTCGGGTCGTATGACGTTTAGAGCGAGTTCACTCACCAGTTGGCATTCATTATCGAGTTACTCGTTCTTTTCAAATACTCCAAAAGGTTTGCAGATCGAAATTTATGTGGTATTTAACAACCTCACCTCCTAGGATACAGACTAGGTAGCCAACACTGTGAAGCCCCGAAGTTTCGGGGAGTCGTGAGTGATCCACAAACCCGCAAAGCAATGGGGCTCTGGCAAAGATTTACCAATACTACTTCTCCGAGGTACCCAATCTACAAACAAAGACTGGGACCTCGGAATGGGTACCAATCCCTTTAGAGTGGTAGCGTCCTCCGGTGTTAACCCGCATTGGTGTTGAATTCGACGGGGTAATGAAAAGCTTCTTGATGTTAGTTCTTGCTTCGGGAAAACGTAATCTTACAACAATTTTTTGTTTACGGCTTTGTTAAGTTAATATACACCCTCGACGATTACCTATAATATTAAGTTTTACACAACAAACACTCAAAAAAGGTATTACTATTAAAATTGTTATTATTTGTTATGAAAACCTTCCCAACAGCATTAAAATAATCGTTAAAATACAAATGTCTGCGTAATGTCAGATTATAAAATTAGTATCGCTAGAGTATATTTTGTTAAAGTAAAATTTATTTGTTTCATTTGCGTGCGGTAGAACGATGGTTGCTATTGTCTCGCAAAAAAATTTAACGTTGAACAGTGATATTTGTTCTTTGAAACTCCTCATACAGTTCTCAGTTGGAATTCCGGAATGTATAATTGCTGAGGGGGCGTTAAATGAATAAATGAAAGTTCTTTAAATTTTAATACAGCAGCCAAGCCTTAAAAAATCTTGTCCGTAATTTCATCACAGGGAGTACTAAAATTAATTTAATTACAATACAGACTGTCCCGATACGCACCCCAAAATACGTTATTCTTAATAAATGAATAATGTATTTTGGGTTGTCATTAACCACAAATCACATTCGTCATTTAGGCGAAATCATTCCATATAAGAACTATCACTTTTATTGTGCTATTTTAAATAAATTGCTGTTAAAAATCAAAGTTACATAATTCATAATTAAAAGATACTTAAAAATAAAGTCACAAGAAAAAGTTTTAGCTGTTGAGAAACAGAACAACTCACAAGAGAAAAAAAACACACAGATATAGACTTTTTGCTAAATACTGTTTTCAATATCTGACTTTAAAAAATATAAGTTCAATTAGGTGTCATCCGCAATAGATTATAAAGTTGTAAAGAGTAACGCCTTCGCTCTTTCTGATACTGAATAAAACTCGTAGCAGTCAAAAAAGGACACTAATTTGTTGTATTTTAAATATGAAAGATATTTTTTGTTTAATGCCCATTTAAAAAAGCTTATATTAATATACGTTTTGTTTGCAAGAATTTCAGCGAAAATTGTTTCGTACGAACCATGCTACAGAAGACAGTTGGTTAAATGGGTATGCCATCTCTATTAAAACAAATTTCCATATAGGCGCCAGAAGTAAATTTTAGTCCATTTGCTTGATGTTCGGACAAAATTATGCTCTAATTTAGCTTGCACGATTAGTTTTTCATCAGTGATACTCCTGTGGTAGCAAATTTTGGTTTACCTCTCAAACTTCCATATTACATATAAATCGGAAATAGTGAATTGCTCAAATTAACAAGAATCCTCTACGTGCTTGTCGCACGATTAAATTTTCGGAGGGCATTAAATAAGAACATAAATGCGGTTTTTAATCGTTACTCATGATAATAACCTGCCTAGTTAGAAAGTAAAAGGAAACGAGTTTCCAATTAAGGCACGCTAGTATAGTTATAATACCTGTACCATCTCTTTGCGACGCGACGTACCGAATTACTTTTTCAGCAAGTTTTTAATTAGGCAATAACCGAGGTGAATTTAGTCAAAACCCAACCGTATCACAATAATTAACTCGTTGTTTACCAACTTGGAAAACAAACAATGCCGGTTTATTAAAATGCTTACCTTTTTAAGATCTTTGTTGGGCTCTCCGTCGTCCGCTTTTCGCTTTTCTGTTCCTGTCAATTTGCCCTTGTCCTTTTCACCTCCGCATATCTGCAAAACCAAGAAACATAATTAAGAACGTTTAATTGCCAACAGGAAACGAAAATCCTGAAAGCTTCTCTCGCAAAAGAACGTTTACACTTTGAAGCTTAATTTACACCCGCATAAAATTTAATGAACTCGACAAACTCGAAAGAAATGGCATTGTTATTGAGGGAGATGTGGTGATTTCGTCTTAATTTCAAACATCAAGTACATTAAAAGCCATATCGGAGGCAAAACTTTAATTACGAACTAAGCGCACTTTGGAACACCTAAACTTCGTATCACAATAAATGAAAATTTAATTAAGAATGTAGCTGCGAAACAATATGCTGTAATTTCCTTCTTGACATGGTGATTTCTAAAAACTTTTAATATGGAGTTTAAATATTTGTTAAATTTCCAGAAAAAGAAATCTTTATTTTGCAATGAACTTTAAATGGAAAAAAATTACTGTGGGAGTCAGACGGTACTCTCGTCGCTCATTTTAACATCACTTCCTGTCGAGGAATTTCTTATGAAACAAAAAAAAAAAACTTTCCTTTTGCAATTTAATTCTTTGGTTAAATTAGTCTTGATGATTTTTATAGGACACTGATCAACACGTTACATTTTTGCTACGAAATAAATGGCGCGCCCTTTGACATTCTGTTGTACAACGAAAGTTGATTTTTATTCTAATATCGATTGCTTGTTTTAACTTTTCATTTTAATTAACTGAAAGCAAAACTAACCGTTGTTTTTAATTATAGAATAAATTCATCGCTCTAGTGACAAGTTAAAAATTAAATTTACGTCGCTGAAAATTAAATTTGTCAGACACCAAGACAATTGTATATTATGGAGCATACAAAGTTTAACAGACTTTCAGATAGTGGTTTTCGAAATATTTCACCAGTTTCATATTTTTGCTCTACCCTGTATATTTGTGTCTTTTTTTAATAAAATCAAAAACATTTACCAAACTTTACTCCTACGACCCGGTAAGAAAAATTGTAAAATTAACATTAATTATGATTTTTACACAATAAACTATATGCTTTATGGTAAAAATGACGTTGAATTACTAAACCACAAATAAAGCAGCATGTCGCTGTACACACCATAAGTGAAATTAGCTCAACAAAATTTTGAGCAGACGTTATCTATTAATTTCGTGTAGTAAAGTACGTTTTCGAGTGTGTTACCAAAATATCAAAGGAATTCGTTAGACGGATTCTATAAAATTTCCGGGACGTAAATGTTAAGCTATAGATAAGACAACATGTGAAATTTGAATGAGATTTACTCATAGTAAAACTCTATTGGAGATGAACAGACAAATTTTGGTCATCGTTATACTATGCATACAATAATCTTGAAATACATAATACTAAAAGATTATCTATTTAATAATGGATAGTCAAACACCGGTATACGACAGAGACACACAGGCTTACGGTAAAGATTCGAAAACCCGGAACCGACTTTTTCGTATTCTACAAGTTGTGAAACACATTGAAAAAACGAAATGCTGATGTTATGAATTAGAAAACGAAACGTTTTACATTTCCGAATAAAAAGTTCCGCCGTATACTCGTAATTTTAAACTCGGATCGGTTAACTGTAACATATTTTTAGGGAAACAATAATACCTTTAAAATTACATTGTCATGAGAAAATGATTTTAAAAGAAACGAATTTCGGTAAATTTAACGTAATATATTTCAAGCATCGAAAAATATCAAATAGCTGATAGCTGCTTTCAAATGTTTTAAAATTTCAACAACCTGCCTGTTTTTCTTCTGTTTCTGAATGGTTTCTGTACGACCTCGCTTTGCAGATGCCTTCTGCGATCAGATTACTAAATAAAATATTTAAAAGGTCCAGGCGGGAAGATTGAATGTTAATGGTCACTCGGATAAAGAAATCGGTTTACCGGGTATACAGCACAATGCAAAATTAATGAAGGAGCTCCTTTAATTATTTCTGCTAAAATAAACCACCAACAAAATTATTAACTGTTAATATTTAATGCTTGTACAAGTTGTTCGATGCTCTTTAGCATTAAATAAAGTGTATCAATATACAATGATTTGTTGACTGTAGCTGCTTCCAAATACTAAGAAATAGCCGTTTCTGCAATTTTTCTTTGTGAGTATATTCTTCTAGTAATTTATTAAACGCTGACATAATCGTAGATTCCTACTAAGACTAATTGTATTAACAAAGTTACGAAAGAAATATATGAAAAGTTCCAGGAATACAGAAAAACATGCCATGTTATTAACATAACTACCGTGAAAACGCTCAGAATGAGTTTCTGGGAGATAGCTTCATTATAATTTCAACAGAATCGGAACACCAATTTAACAAGTTTTAACAATAACTGCTTACTGTAACAGTTACGTTTACTGAAATTTATATTGGACATTATCAGATATGGACCGACCGTATTACTTTAACGAAGTTCATGAATTTGTTTGAGAAGGGTATAAGGTTAGTTAAACTTCCGAACAGTGCAACGCTGATAACCTCACTGTTTGCACTTTCAAAGCTGCTTATGACTTTGAAGACAGCATTTCTATATTAAAATGGTAGTAAGACGTCACTTACATACGATTAGTATCGGTAAACAATTACGACGTTAATAATTACAACGACTAAATTAAAATTATCTATAATAATTATTATAGATTAATTATAATTAATGCAAAACTATAATATGTTCATGACGATCGACGATAAAATTACAGTGACTCCTTTACAATGCGGGTTTTTCGACGACATTTAACATTTCGTGGAAACATTGTAGTAAATTTTTACAGAACTCTTACTTATTCTTTACTGCTGAATTCAAATTTCATTTCAACGATCTAATATAATGGCATTATGTTGTCTCAAAACTGGACAGCCGTAAAACAATACCGAGAGCAAGTTATAAACTAGAACCCATGCTTTTGATGCAAAACACTTAATAATGCATTCAGCTAGGCGCGTTTGTCGGTGAATGCTGTACATAAACAGCTCGTTTCAGCAAAAATAATTTATGAATGGCTGATACATCATGACAGACAACTGTCCATTTAAATTTATGATAGTACCTATCGATATCACTGATGTCAAAGAGCATTTCACTATAAGTGTGATTCAGTGTAAAGTAATCAGAACATAAAGTAAAAGCCCGACTTCATATTGCATTGCTTAGAAAACTTATTATTGAGCTCTCATTTAATCTTCGGTTAAGATCAATATTAACAATTTAAAATTTAGATTTATGTGTTTAATAAGCAGAAATACTTCATTCAATAAATTGTAACGTACACGCATTACAGATCAGGCAAACTGAATATTCTAACAAGCAATACTGTTTGGAATTACATAATTTTTCGTAATATTATTATATTAATTAAACTTTCTTTAACCAAGAAAAGCACATGGTACGATAATTTCTGATTAGTAATTTGCACGTGTGAATAGTACAAGTCTGACCTGAGTGTCACTGACTTTTCCTGGTCTTGTAATACCTATTTGAGATAGTTTACCAGTTACCGAAATATTTTTGTAATGTGATTTTCAAAAAGTGTTGTAAAATGCTGATTTTTTTATCAAAATAAATATAGATATGTATAGTAACCCCTAACTCCGTAATATACCTCCCGAGTTACATAAAATTGCATTTTTTTTGTTGCTAATTTGTAACATTTATTTCTTTATTTAAAGTCATATACGTATATGTTTTACTGTGTGTCAAATTTGTTTTTTTCTCGAGCGTAAGCTAAGGACGTATTGTAACAGGGTCGGTCTAAATAAACTTAAACCATTTTTTACTGCGAAATAATGTCAGAGATATGTGAAAAAACAAATAATGTTTAATAAATTATTAGTATGAAGTCAATGAAAAAGAAATTGAATGTTGAAAAAAAAGCTATTAAATAACTGGGAACATGTTTCATCATTTGAACAAACACAAACGTTGTACATATTAATTTTTATATATTTCATTCAGACATTTCGTCTTGTGTCATTTTCAAATTGTCAGTATAGGGTAAATGTGTACAAGAGTACGCACTTAGTGGAAAACTGTCAACAACTTTTTAATTTTTTTGGATAGACAAATTTTATGATATAGGTTCGTTATATACATGTTTAGAGATCAGATATATTTAATTGTACGTCCCAACACCACTATATTTTAAGAGTAATTTCAATTTTTGTCAAGATGTGTAAATGCGCACTCTTAGACAGTTCATCGCACAAGAGTGCGCATTTGAACGCTTATGAGTACGCAATACAAAATATTTGTTTCTAAGGTGAAAATAAATGGGAATAAGTGACTACAGACTACACATAAAACGGGAGACCTATTTCTTCGTACTCTAGGGGTCTTGAAAAGACGAGAAAACGTAAAAATAAAGAGTCGGTCGACGGACTCGTTTACAACACGCTCAGGAAGTAAAAAAAAAAATCACCATAACCACCACCACACAACTTGAGAAGCAGTACAAAGTAGTAGAGTTAAATAATGCAGTATCGTATGATATGTATCTCCAAGACTATTAGACTACGTATTGCAAGCAATGCGCACTCTTATACAATACCTCGCTGCGCACTCTTGTACATTTGTACATAACCTAATGTTTTCAAAGTTAAAAGCTTTTGATTAACAGAAAGTGTAAAACTGTTAGTGTATAACGACACCTTAAAAGTTACAACTAATGACAATTATTACTGTAAAATAAAAGAACTGGTACGTACCTTACAAAAAACTAAAACTATGAGCGGTAAAAATTACATCCACACAACGTGTGAACATAAAATCGTCAGTACGACCAAACTATAAACTATATTCAGGTCACTTTTGCACCTTTATCTCAGGTTTAGCATTAAATTCTGAATGGTATAACTTCATCTTACCCAGATGGCACTAATAAGCAGAAATCATCAGTGCGTACTCTTATACATATTCGCACTCTTGTACACATTTACCCTACATCAATTTTTTCGATTGCTCACTCGATCAGGTTGAT